GCCTTTGAAGACTTCCTGGAAGCTTCAATTAGTCCAACGGGCAGCAGCCAGATTGCTAACAGGAGCGGGGTACAGAGACCATACAACCCCTCTGTTATGCCAGCTCCACTGGTTGTCGATCTGCTTCCGAGCACAATTCAAAGTGCTGGTTTTAACCTTTAAAGCTCTAAATGGTTCTGGCCCAGACTACATGTCTGAATGTATCTCCTACTACAAATCATCACAAAGTTTAAGGTCATCTGGAGAGGCTCTGCTTTTAATCCCACCGCCGCCGCAAACGCGATTGTTGGAGATGAGAGACAGGGCCTCCTTAACCGTGGTTCCCTGTCTGTGGATTCCTGCCCCAAAGACATCAGACTGGATACCTCCCTCCTGTCCTTTAGAAGGAAACTCAAGACTTGGCTGTGGGACCTTGCGTTTGACCATTGAATAGCGGCTTGTATGAAGAAAACATACGCAATTTTGAAGATTTTAATTGGCGTGTTTTAACAACTGTTTATTTAATGTTTTGTTTTAATGAATTTGTTGATTTTTCTTATCATTATGATGGCACCGAATGGTGTTTGCTCTGAGGCCACCCTTAGTCCCCCCTCAGGAGTGAGAAGGGTGGGGTAAAAGTATATAAAATAACTATTCTGTGATGGCTACTATTCTGCGATGAAATACAGTATCTTCTCTCATCAACATGTATATTGGTTCATTAAAACAATTGTGTTCTGTAATTCATTAGAAAAGAAAATTCAATTCCGTCCCTTTCAGCTGGTGAAATATTTCAAGACTCTTGTGCATTCTTTCCACAATGGTATGATACATGATTTCTTTATTTGTGTCTGGCACACATGAGCAGAAGGGCTGAGAATGAATGGATGTTGCTAAATACGTTTATTTATATTAGTTGCCGAGCCTGTGGAACTAAAACAGGAAGTTTAGATAGATTTGTTATGGCTCTCTCTGGCAGGTTAATCTGTTCAAGTATAATTTATAATAGACTAGGAAGCAGGAAAAGTTCATTCACATGTTTAAACCTGTGATAGCTGCTTTCAATCAGACTCTGGTGACTCATTCATCTAACATTGGCAGAATTGGTTGTGTGTGCTTTTGAGTGACAAGGAATCCTCCTTCACAAAGTTGAACAAACCAGTAAATGGTTATATAAATTAGACTAAACATGGATTAGGAGCACAATGATGAGCTCTACCTTAGATTTATATCTTAAAATGGTGATGGATGTAAGTATGCAGTTTAGAAGCCTGAAGGTCTGGGCTTGTGCTTGATGTGCTTGTTTCTGCTTGGTTTATATTTGTTTGAGTTATCTAATAATCTCCCAAATTTTGGATATTTGGGATTGACTTCATTTTTCAAAACTTGATGAGCAACAGTAAATGAAAGATATGCATCCTTTGGATGTAGATAGCTCTTTGCTGTAGAGATATGGCTAAGAAAGCAGTATGTGTGAAAAAGATCTTGGAGTCCTTGTGGACAACAAGTTAAACATGAGCCAACAATGTGATGTGGCGGCAAAAAAAGCCAATGGGATTTTGCCCTGCATCAATAGGAGCATAGTGTCTAGATCTAGGGAAGTAATGCTACCCCTCTATTCCGCTTTGGTTAGACCACACCTGGAATATTGTGTCCAATTCTGGACACCATAATTCAAGAGAGATATTGACAAGCTGGAATGTGTCCAGAGGAGGGCGACTAAAATGATTAAGGGTCTGGAGAACAAGCCCTATGAAGAGTGGCTTAATGAGCTGGGCATGTTTAGCCTGAAGAAGAGAAGGATGAGAGGAGATATGATAGCCATGTATACATATGTGAGAGGAAGTCGTATGGAGGAGAGAGCAAGGTTATTTTCTGCTGCCTTGGAGACTAGGACGCAGAACAATGGCTTCAAACTACAAGAGAGGAGATTCCATCTGAACATGAGGAAGAACTTCCTGACTGTGAGAGCCGTTCAGCAGTGGAACTCTCTGCCCCGGAGTGTGGTGGAGGCTCCTTCTTTGGAAGCTTTTAAACAGAGGCTGGATGGCCATCTGTCAGGGGTGCTTTGAATGTGATTTTCCTGCTTCTTGGCAGGGGGTTGGACTGGATGGCCCATGAGGTCTCTTCCAACTCTTTGATTCTATGAAATACAAATGGCCTAACCCTTGTCACCTCTGAAATATTATCCCATTATCTCATCAATACACTGGAATTATGCATTGTATATGCACTTGTTATTTGACATCTTTTCATTTCCATTTAGATTTTGAAGTTTTTTTTAGAAAACCCAGAAAGCTGGGTGCAATCATTTTGTTAGACCTGTGATATCTTGCATCTTCAAATATAAGAATATTCCCTAAGGTGGCTAGTGATGCCTATTCTCTCACACCTTTCTCTAATTAAACTCGGTTACTCCAAAGAGTACTGAAAACAGGAAAATCACTTTTCTAAAAAAAGATGATCTTAACCATTTTTGCCAGATATGATAAACAGAATTTTATGATACGCAGAACACTTTCAAGGCCACTATTGCCTTCCTGTATGCAATTTCCCAATCTGCCTTGTGCTGTATGAGAAATACCGACTCAGCAAACATTCCAAACTAAGCCCAAGCTACAGTCTGAATTTGGGAACCTGATAAAGTTTTCCAGTTGCTGGATGTTTTCGTAATAGTATCTTGAAGCTGAGGCTGAGGGGTCCTGAATTTGGCAGGAAAATCATGATACAGGAGAGGTGGTGTTGAGTGTAGAGTTTCCGTATTTTGGTTCCTACATTTACAGTTCCTTCTAGTAACAACTTGGGCCAGTGCAATGTGTGCACATAGAAATGTGTGAATGAATGTAGAATACAGGCAGTCCTCGGGTTACAGGTAATATTGGTTCTGTAGGTTTGTTCTTAAGTTGATTTTGTAAGTATGTTAGAACAGGTACATTTTAAAGTGCAACTCCAGCCAATGTTTTGTTTTTGTTTTGGATAGCATAGGGGAGGGTTGACAGCCACCACTATAACATTTTTTTTTTCCTTGTCCAGAAGATTTAACCTCACTTTCTGCCTCTGTGACAATTGGATTTTTCAAATTTTGACAGCCCCGGCCCAAATTACCTGTCCGAATGCATCTCCCCCTATGAACCATCACGGAGATTAAGATCCTCCAGGGAGGCCCTGCTTTCCGTCCCGCCATTGTCACAGGCACGATTGGTGGGGACGAGAGACAGGGCCTTCTGTGATTGCTCCCCGGCTATGGAACTCCCTTCCTGGTGAGATCAGGTTGGCCCCCTCCCTCCTGTCCTTTAGAAGGATGGTAAAAACTTGGCTGTGGGACCAAGCTTTCGGGACAGGGCAATAAAGCGGCAATAGGAAAGATGACCAGGCCAATTAGATTTGATGCGGATGACTAGGACGGTTTTAAATGGTGTATTTTAATATTTTGATAATTTTTTTAATGTTTATGTATTGTATGTGAATTTGTGTCCCGGCATTGAATGTTTGCCTGTATATGCTGTGCTCCGCCCTGAGTCCCCTTCGGGGTGAGAAGGGCGGAATATAAATGTTTTAAATAAATAAATAATAAATAAACAATGGTCAATGAGAAAGTTTTAGTGGAGTTACCTTTTCCCCATGATAACTCTTCCAGGAGTGAATTTCCCTTCCTGGGGGTAGATTTGTCTCACTTCCTATTGTCTCACCCTCTTTCTTAACTATGACTCACATATAAGTTGGATGTTTGTGATTTGAGGACTGCCTCTAGACAAGTGGAAGAACATGCAAGGAGAAGGCATGAAAATAATATGATTGTAATAATTTATTTGAATTTTCAGTATAAATGAGATGCCTTTAATTCCAATAAATGAAGCTACTTCTCTGTCAGTGCTTTAGGGAAGAGAAATACCAAGAAGATTGCTTAGCAGATTGTGCTGTGATTGTAGCACATAGGTTGAGGAACATTAGCTACCGTGTTCAACTTCTCTCCCTAAAGCTCAGTAGATTCAATTCTCTTTGCTACTAATGCCTCTATTAAAAGCAGTAGTCACAGCAGTAGTAGATAGATCCTGGAGGTACTGTTCATTTGATGGGTGCTGATTTTCTTGAGAGCAAGGATTTGTTCATTGGATTTTCTTCTCCCTAGTGTCTTGCTTCTCTGTCCTCTCTCACAAGCAAATGTTCCTTTTGGGATCTTTGCTATTGCTACTGTTTGGAAGGGAAGAACGTCATTTCGAAAAGCTGAATGACCTTCTGTATTCCCAATTGTTTCCTTTACAGAGAGGAGTTTTAGCATTTTCCTTCTTGCCAGCAGAAATGCTAGTGTACAGTACATTCTCAGAACAGATAGACAGGCACATGAGCATTTAAAAATGCAGCGATTGTGGCTTTACGGAAAGGAAGATAGTCCAGCTCCTCTTCCTGTAGCCAAATGCTTCCGTTTGGAGCAGCATAGGCTGTGGAATCAACAACGACATGTCTGCCGATCGCAGCAAAGGTAAGAGGGATAATGCAGCAAATGAATTCGTGACAGCCGCATCAGAATGAGGGCAAAAGCACCCTCAGAGGAAGCCCTGCCTGAGTTTATTTTGCTATTTAGCTTCCCCTTTGGATGTGCATTCACGTCTCTTCTGCTCGGATCGGATGAGTGCTGACAATTGTGCCTGAGGGAAGCGGGGAGATACTGACATGCAAATGTGCAGCAGGAATATTCAACGGGAAGAGTTGTTGACTGGGGAGCGCCAGCTTCTCTTGATGCTGTAGGCAAGAAGTTTAATGTGACCCAGTATGTCATGTAGCTATTATTCTCTGCTTTGGCGTGATGCATGGCCAATATGGTAAGGATGACTTCTAGTTAGATGAGCAGTCAGCTGCTCATCATAGGGACAGATGCAACCATGAAGTCTTTCAGATGGAGACTTTGCCAGGAGTAAGCCAGTGGTGGTCTATTGTCATATCTGTGATACCTATTGCTAAAATGCATTTGAAGGAGATCAATGGCTTTAATAAGCTGACTTTGCTTTTTCTTCTCTTTCCAGCTGTCCCTCCAAAACTCAAGAAACTGAGGAACCTAAATGCAGAATTGGGGGCAAAGATTTCTTTGAAATGTGAGGCCAGCGCAGGAAATCCCCAGCCATCCTACAAGTGGTTCAAAGATGGTAAAGAACTGAAAAAGAGCAAAGATATCAGAATAAAATATGGAAATGGAAAGTAAGTATAATAACAGCCACTTTTTACCTGTACGGCACTGAAAAAATGTTTTAATCTCTTTTTATTAGGAAAAAAACCCTTTCCTTTTGAAAAAAAACTGGTAATAAGAAAGATGCTTTCACAAATGTGCTGAGGTTCAATTTTTGTTGCTATCTTCAGTGTTCCAGGACTGACCTTTGATATCTGTCTAACTTGAATATGCTTGCCTAAACATGGGATCTGGAACAAAAACACACAACTTTTGTTTCTGTTTTTAAAATATGTTTTCTAAAACTTACCTTATCACAGAACAAAAAGAAATAGCTTACCATCAACATATTAAGCTATGATTATGGGACAATGGCATAAGTTATTTATTAATACAAATGTGAAAGCTGAATTGGTGATTCACTTATCATGCTTAGCAGTTGGATTCTAGTGACCCCATCCTATGTGAGCAAAAGTATGAGTCTAAGGACTGAAAGTGGCCAAGAAAAAAGGCCAATGGTACCAGCACAACAAAAATAAACATCCATCCATATACACATCTACACACATTTATATACATCCTGAAAAATAATTTTTGTTTCATCTGTTCTTGGTTGCAACCGAGCATGTTCAAGAATCAGATAAGTATAAAACCCTGGATATTTCATTTAAATAAAATAAAAGTTGGTATATATTTATTTCAGCAATTAAAGTGCAAGTCCAAGAGGGCCTGCAGCATTCTCTACCCTGTAGTCTCTATGGTAGTATCTCTACTTCCCGGAAAGGAAACCCTACACCAAGGGTCCTCAAACGTTTTAAACAGGGGGCCAGGTCACAGTCCCTCAAACTGTTGGAGGGCCGGATTATAATTTGAAAAAAAAAAAGAATGAATTCCTGTGCACACTGCACATATCTTATTTGTAGTGCAAAAACACTTAAAAACAATACAATAATTAAAATGAAGAACAATTTTAACAAATATAAACTTATTAGTATTTCAATGGAAAGTGTGGGCCTTCTTTTGGCTGATGAGATAGGATTGTTGTTGTTGTTGTTGTGTGCTTTCAAGTTGTTTCAGACTTAGGTTGACCCTGAGCGAGGGCCAGGTAATGACCTTGGAGGGCCATATTGGCTCTCGGGCCTTAGTTTGAGGACCTCTGCCCTACACTGTCACTACCCTGTAGAATTAATGCAGTTTTAAACCACTTTAACTGCCACGACTCAATGCCATGGAATCGTGGGAGTTGTAATTTGATAGGGCACCAACACTCTTTGGCAGAGAAGGCTGAAGATCTTGTAAGGTTACTAAAGTCCAACTGCATTAATTCTAATGTAGAAATTTATGGTCATGTTTTTTTGGGGGTGGGTGGGGTGGTGAGTCTCTTTGCAACAGTCCTACAACAATTTATTCTATTCAGCAAGGTCTCCATCCCATCAGCATTATATGTGGGAGAAGCTTGGATAATGAGCATCACAAGTTGATTGATGCATCTACATTTGATCCAGTCTGATGTCCATGTTTATTCCATTGTTGTCAGGGGTAATCCCAAAAGTACTATTTATGAACAATACATGGATTCTCTTGAAGTATGGGAAATGGTGCATAATGGTCCGATGTTCTAAAAAGATATTTGTCTTCTTCATATACATTTATTCTATATTGCTCTCTCTTTTTGAAGCTAAAGATATTAGAGTGACCCAGATCTTATAAAATAAACTAGGAGTAGTGGAGTAACATAAGCTCTAGCTGATAGTTTGGCTGCTATTCATGTGTTCGAAAACCATGATGCAAAATCTCTCTGGAATACAGAAAGCAACATCTCTAGGGAATTCACAGAAATTTGTACTTAGAAATATGTTCAATATAAAATAATACAACTTCTATTTTTTCCTAATTATGTCATATTTACAAGACATTTATTTTAGTGCCATGAGCAACCTTCCACACCTGAAATGTGCAGCATTCTTCTATTATAGTTCTTCAAATTTTCATCCAAGTTATGAGGGCAGCAAAACTACAGTTTTGTGGATGGATTCCTTGAGTATCAGTACATTTGGAAATAATGTGTATGTATCTGCAATTTTGATAAGAATGGAACTACAACATCTCACTTGGGAAGAGTTAATGTAGATGCATATAATGAAACAGAATGGGGGAAGTTAGTTCATCTCCAACTTTAACACTGACCAAATGCCACATATTTTAATGCTCATTAATAATTGCTTTCCCAAAGCATAGTTGTCTCTATTTTTTCTGTTTGGAATGTATGGATAGAGAGATCTTCATAATGTTCCAATACATTATATTATTGTATCATTGAACAAAAGAAAACTAGAACACCTAAGTAAGAGACAAAGAGTTTGGGATAAGGCAGGGATATACCATATTTCATCTCATCGTAGTTGCAAAATAGGGAGTGAGGAATTTCCTTTGCAGCTATGGGTCTTCCCTTAGAGGCAAAGCTGCCTGTGTGTCTGCCTACAAGAGGTAGGAGGCTTCCCTTGGCTGCTGCCAGCCAATAATAATAATAATAAATAATAAACTTTATTTATACCCCACCACCATCTCGCCAAAGGGGTCTTGGGGCGGCTAACATTAGGCCAAGCCCAAAGATACAATACAGCAAAATAAAATACAGAATGCAGACAACAAAAAATATATCAGAATCAAATACATACAGTAGCAAAGATAAAATAAATAAAACAAATTAACACAATATAAAATTGAACAGAATGGGCAGGCCAAATGGACGAGGTAAAATGATAAAACCCTGGGTGAGGTAGGAAAGAAAATATGTATTTGAGGGGAACCCAGCCAAGGAAGGCGTCCTAGCTTTTGTGCCTTTGCACCTGCCCCCCTTCCCCCCCGGCTGCAAGCTATGGGATTGCATTAAGGAGCAATGCTTTTTATTTAATTTTAATTTGTTAAGTTATAATTTGTATTTATATGTTGGGTTGTATAAATTTTGTTAGCACGGATGTATTGTTGTTGTTTTCGGGCACTGAATGTTTGCCTTTTGTGTTTAGAATCCGCCCTGAGTCCCTTTGGGGAGATAAAGCAAAACATAAATAAAGTATTATTATTACGTGAGGAATCCTTAAACCCCAGAAAAGGGGGTACAACTATTATGCGTTAATGACTATTATGCAATGAAGCACAGTACCATAGGTTGTGGCAATGTGTCTCAAATGCTATAGAGTCAGGTCTGTAGCCAGGATTTTGATTCGGGGGGTGCTGAGTTTGATTCGGGGGGGGGCTTAGGATCTACCCTAGCAAACCTTTTGTATCGCTATCCCAATAGCCTCATGCATATGGGATATATTGAGCATGGTGATCAGATCATGATATGAATAAACATAACAGTTTAAATAATGTACTAGTAAGGCCTTCTCGCGCTCCCCAGTCAACAACTCTTCCCGTTGAATATCCCTGAGCAGGACTTCTTAAATCTTGCTACCTCTTTTCACCCAAGACATTTTTGCATGATCCTGGGTATATAGATACATAAAATAGATAATAAATCATTAAGAAATTTATTTTAAAATAGTTCTTTGGTATACATAACTGTACAATTTATTAAAAGATGAAAGCAAATGATAATAATAATGAGATATACCGGTATGTATGTATATATTTTAATGCAAAGAATGAAAGCTTGGTTGAATATTTGATCTTGCTGGCTGTAGAACATCTAGAACATTTTTTCATGCCATGTTGGAATGCTTTCCAGCCTCTAGGGGCAGAATATGTTGTGTTGACTCTTCCTGTAAATGTTTAAAATAGCCACTAGGTGGCAGCCTACACAAATGTTTCACAACCCCAGATTCAGTTAGAGAATCCCAAAATGGGTCACAACCCTCATTTTAAGAAGCTTTGTGTTAAGAGCAGTGGTTCTCAACTTGTGGGTCCCCAGATATTTTGGCCTTCAACTCCCAGAAATCCTAACAGCTGGTAAACTGGTTGGGATTTCTGGGAGTTGTAGGCCAAAACACCTGGGGACCCACTGGTTGAGAAACGCTGTGCTAGAGAATCAGCACCAACGTTTAATATTTTTTCCTTTTAGGATAATGTTGGATTATACTCTATGTGTTTTATCATTTCATATATCTTATAATTGCTTTTAAATTTTAATTGCTTTTAAATTTTGTTAGATTTTAGCTATTCTTGTAAGCCACTCCGAGCCCCAGGGGAGTGGCGGCATATAAGTTTAAATAATAAATAAATAAATAAATAAATAAATATATTCGCGTGTAACTCAAAAAAATCAACTTCATAAAACTGGTCAACTTTTCCATGGATCAGTGTCAGTACTGTACATTAACTCTTGTAAAAAAAAATAGTTAGTAAAGTGTACATTAAAAAAAAAAAAAAAAAAAAAAAAAAAAAAAAAAAAACAAAAAAAAAAAAAAACAAACACCAAAAAAAAAAAAAAAAAAAAAAAACATGTTTTTAAAACCAAAAAAAAAAAAAAAAAAAAACACAAAAAAAAAAAAACAAAAAAAAAATAAAAAACAAAAAAAAAAAAAAATTTAAAAAAACAAAAAAAAAAAAAAAAAAAAAAAAATAGAAAAGTAATGCCTGATAAACATTAGGTAAAGGTTTCCCCTGACATTAAGTCCAGTTGTGTCTGACTCTGAGGGTTGGTGCTCATCTCCATTTCTAAGCCGAAGAGCCGCCACTTTTCATAGACACCTCCAAGGTCATGTGGCCAGCATGACTACATGGAGTGCTATTACCTTCCCGCTGGAGAAGTACCTATTGATCTACTCACATTTGTATGTTTTAGAACTGCAAGTTGGCAGAAGCTGGGGCTAACAGTGAGAGCTCACGCCTCTCCCCGGATTTGAACCTGTGACCTTTCGGTCAACAAGTTCAGCAGCTCAGTGCTTTAAGCCACTGTGCCATCGGGGGCTCCTAAAGTGTACATTAACTCTTATCAAAAAGAGTTAGTAAAGTTTTCTTAGTAAAGTGGCAAAAGGCAACAACTTAGCCTATCCCAGGAGAACCTAAAAGAAGAGCTGAGCCACCTCTA